ACAAAAATACTCAAAATACAATCCACCAACACTATCATACCCCAAATAAACATCATCGACACCTTTCCCATTCAATATACACTAACAAACACACTGTGGGAGTGGATGATCTTGGTGAGGCGTTTGATTTGACCGAGGTAATTAATTTCTCTTTATTAATTTTCTTTTTGTCATCACTATCTGCTTCCCTTTTATTTTAAAAAATAAATGCTAATAGGTTATTTTTTATTGGCTTTTTTTTGAGACATAATGTTCTACAAATTTCTTGACAAAAGAGTGAGGGAATTTTATATACTAATTTATTTTTTCTATTGTATACACCATTTTCCAAAAAGAATGCAACACCTGATTGGCAATCTTTAAATGCTAAAATTTTAAGTAGAATAAATCAGATTAATATAAAATTTATATTATAGATAGAATATAAATATGCTTAAATAATGTATAAATTAAAATAGATATTAAATTAATAAAAAAAATTTTTAGGATAAATTTTAAAAAATTTATTGTTACAGTATTTTTGGAGTTTTTTAAAAAAAATAAAAAAATTTATTTATTTTTTTTTTTTAGAGGCAAAGTGCATTACATGCGAACTTTATTAACTTAGCATTGAAATTACAATTATTACATGAAGAGTCTGACTAACTATATTAGCTATTCTAATCCTAGCACCGCCTCTAATTCTAATCTGATTATCAACTAACACCCTGGAGATGGGTTCGCAATCCAGGCATGATCTATTCGAAGAGCATTTAAAAAAATTTATTTATTTATAAAAAATACATACATATAATTATAAAAATATATTTGATTTCTATTACCATCTTGTATAACCACCTTTTGCCTTAATAATATCATTAATTCTTTTAGGCATTGTTTCTATATATTCCTTACAAGTTTTTTCAGATGTTTCATTCCAAATATTCAATAAATTATCCCAGAGAGTTTCTTTATCATTAATATTAATCTCTAAATCATTAACTCTTCTTTTCACATTATTCCAGATATTTTCTATTGGATTTAAATCTGGAGATTTTGATGGCCAAGAAATAGTTCTAATTTTATTATTTTTTAACCATCTTTGAACTATTTTAGCCTTATGTTTAGGATTATTATCATGTTGAAATATAATATCTTTGGAAGCTAAATTATAATATCTTAATGAATACATTAATTCTTCTTTTATAATTTGTCTATAAAGTTCTGCATTAAGATTTTCTTCAATCTTAGATAAATATCCTGTGCCATAATAAGTAAAACATCCCCAAATATTAATACTATCTTTATTAAATTTAGTTGTAAGAATTATATATTGATCCTTTAAAGGTTCTATAGATTTTCTCCAGCAATATTTGCGTTCTTCGACTTCAAAAAGTTGAAATTTAGTTTCATCAGACCAGATTACCATACTCCAATCTTCTATAGTCTAATTTCTATGTAATTTTACAAATTCTAATCAGATTTTTTTGTGTTTTACTTAAAAAAGATTTCTTGCACCATGTATAAGCTTTAAATCTATTTTTCTTAAGAATTCTTCAAATTGTGTTGACACTAATATTTATTTTTTTATATTTTTTCAAGGATCTATATATATCCATGGCTGCTTTGCATTTTCCTTTTAGGATTTTTTGGATAATAATACATTCCTCACATAGAGTAAGTTTAAGCGGATGACCAGGAATAGGTTTATTTTCTAATTTGTTTGTTTCAAGATATTTTTTACCAAGTCTAGATATAGTGGAATAATAAACATTGTTGCCAATTTTGACAGCAACCTGACATAAACTATAACCTTCTTCTAATAAGATAATAGCCTTTGCCCTTTTTTCTATTGATAACTGCCTTGAGGACATTTGGTTTATACAAGGTTTGAGTAAATTTTTGCATTTTTATATTTTTATCCAAAAACGCCAAAAGTCACGCAACAGTAAATTTTTATTAATTGCATCATAAAAAATTTTTTTATTATTTTAATCACTATTCTACCGTATACACTGAATAGATTAGACTATACACTGTATATACTGTTAATTTCGCCGTGATTTGATCTGATCTGATCAAAATTTTAACACTTAAAGATCGACGATCAGGTGTTGCGTTCTTTTTGGGAGACGGTGTAACTAAAGGATAAACTAGTGGAAATAGGGATATCGATGATTGCATTAAAGAATTTCAACTTAATGCTATTAGACACGAAGATGTTATTGAGTGGATTCCTTTTAATAGATTAATTAATTTATGCAATATTGGAGAGACAAGATTTATTGCAATATGGATAGATGGAATACGAAAAGTCGAAAATAATGCACAATCACGTTCGTCTTCACACATAGTAGAACTTAAGGCATCAGACAATCTTCAAATAAGTGCATTGGATTTTATAAGATACGTAACGAATAACACATCTTTCTATTTGCAGTTTAAGAACCAGGATAAAGAACATAAAGTATATGGGGTAACTCAAGATACCTTAGTACAATATATTGTTGTGGTTAATTTTAATCCTATAGGAAATAAGAAGTACGGAGCATGTAAATGGAGTGAACATTATAATACTTCAAGAGAATGGTGCCAACTATGTGATCCTTTTAGAATAACTCAAGGATGGACAAGCGAAAGTATTGATATCGACAATTTTATTAAGGAGTTTCAATCTATAGCCACCGAGTATAATGAAATAGATTGAGTAATATACGAAAGATCGGGAAAGGGGGACTTGGATGCGTTTATTCCGCAATCTGGTTAGACGGAAAACGAAAAATAATAAATAACGGCAAGAAATTTATTCAATCACGTACATAATCTTATACCGTTGCACTTAAAACATTACTCGGTTCTCCAAGAAGTTCTGCTGATTTTTTAAGAGAAGTAGGTTTTAATATTGGTCTTATAATATTTATAATAAATTAATAATGTAATAATAAAATTTATATATTTTAAGTTAAAAAATCACATGCAATGTAGGTTAATGGGTAGTACCCTAGAAGTATATGGATTAACCAAATATACGACCACAAATCCATATATGATGGTTCTTCAATATGCTAATAATGGTAATCTTCGTTATTATTTAAAATCAAGTTTTAAAGAACTTATTTGGAAAGATAAATTGTCACGACTGATGGATATATTAAAGGATTTGATTCAAATTCATGAATCTGGATACATTCATTGTGATTTAAATAGTGGAAATACTGCACTGTATTACATAAAGAGGGATCGTGGCTTGAAAGAGCGAAATCTTATATTATAGATCTTGGATTATCGCGAAAAAAAAAGGTTTCCGAAAATAAGAAAGGGATTTATGGTGTAATGCCCTATATTGCACCTGAAGTTTTATTAGGCGAAACGTAAACGCAAGCATCAGGTGTATTTAGTTTTGGTGTTATTATGGCAGAAATAACTATTTTGGAATGCCACCGTTTGATTGTTATACGTATATTTAATAGCGATCTTGCATTAAAAATTTGCAACGGATTGCGATCAAATTGTGCTCAAGGAACTCCCGATTTATATGTCGATTTTGCAAAACTATTCGTGGATTATGATCCACAAAAACGGCCTACAGCTAAAGTTATTTTCAAAAGCTTGAAAAATGGTATGGTGTTATAGAAGAACCTGATGAAATTAAAATTGACGAAGATGATATACAGTAAGTGCAATAGAGCTCGACGAACTTGATGAACCAGAAACGGTAGAAATAGGTAATCAATTTTGGGAATCCGATGAAATAGTCAAACAGCTACCTGTAACTTTGCAAAAACATCAAGATGACACATATACAAGTCAATTTATCGATACTTATGATATTTCTCAACGATACAACAAATTTGTTAAAAGCATTAATATATCTCAGCGGCATGATAAACCAGTTAATATTAGCACAACAGGTAAGGTTTATTATATTAAATATATATTGATAATATTTATAAACCGATATGTTATCTTTCATAATAGATTTCACTGCAAATAACTTGAGGATAGTGTTGTAGTTGGGAAAAAAAACATGACCTTAAGCACATTGACTCTAGGTTTTTTTTTGTTCTAAAATTTTTATTTATATTTTATACCCGTGAATAGCTGTAATTTTAAAAGTTAAAATAATTTTATATTTATTATTGAGACAAATTATTTAATTGAGGCTCACTTTTTATTGCACAATATGATAAGTAGTAACAATGATTATTATTATAACTATTTTAATTTAAAAATGAACCCGTATATTTATTACACGATTAAATTTATTGGTTTGTAGATATTTTTGTACAAAATACGTACAGAAAGTATATTTATTTATTATTATTAATTCGAATTTTCACAAACATTATATCTAATTAAAATTTAATTATTCAATTTTTATTGCCAACTGAAACTTCTCATTGCCTTACAAAAGAAAAGCAAATCAATACGACCAGGTTGTAAATGTCCAATAATAATACATTTATTATGAAAAATGATTGAAATTTTTAGTTATTTAAGATATCTTATTTATTGGGAAATTGAAATAAATGATTAAATAAACCTTAAAATGTAAATTAGTTTGACAATTAGCTATAAAACTTATTGATAAACATGGATTACAGTATCACCATGTGCATGCAATAAAGATTTGCGTAATACAGTAATTAAATGCATTAACCATAAATATTTAATAATATTAAGTTTATATAAAACTTATAAATTTACTTTTAGCCTTAAATAATTTTTAATAATTTTTTATAGATTGGTTATATACAGTATATATATTTTAATATAAAATGATTATCAACATAATAAAAAAAATACAATATATTAAATACAAATTAACTTATTATCAAAAATATATGTTAATATTTTAAAACTTTCTTTAATTAATTAATTTGATTTAATTTTTTTTAAACTTTGACTTTATTAAATTTGAATTGAATTATTTTATTATATTAATTGTAAATATAGTATTACAAATTTTTTTTCATAATTATAATAACAAATAATCAAATTATTTAAAATATAATCTATTATTATAATTATTGTATTTTTTTGCTTTTTTACTTTTTCTGTTTTATTTACTCTTTCTGTTTTGTTCAAACAATACTTATAAATGTAACAAAAACTATATATTATAATATAAACTAGTATATATATAATAAAATTAAAAAAAAATATCAAAAAAAAAAAAACTCATATCCATTCACTACTAATTTCTTAAAAATTTTCTTTTATAGAATTTTTTCGAAAGAAATACTTTTCTCTTTCTTTTTAATATGTCAACTATACAATAAACTTAAAGACATAAGAACTTTAAGAACTATTGTTATATTGAAATAGGACTTTTGATTAAAGGTCAAGCAAGTTTGAAAGTCTTGTTTACTTATTGGTTGCATAAGAAATGCCTATGGCAATTTTTCTTCTTAATTTTATCTTTATACCTTCTTTTTTATTACTATTATAATAACTATGTTTCTTATTATTCTTATCATCATCAACTTTTTTAAAAAAATATATTTATAGATCCTCTTACTTGTTTCAACCAAACTCTTTCAAAAACTTCTATATAGTACACTTCATTGTACCACCTTAATAATATCAAAAATTTTCCCAAACTCAAAAACCAAAATCAGCTTAACCTCTTCAAATGATCTACACAATTTTAACAATTAATTACAAGAACCAAACTGATATTATTTTATTAGAAATAATAACAATAATAACAATATATAAAAATATATCAAAAATATATCAAATCTAAATTAATTTTCTAAAAATCTTCTATATTGCAAAAAAAAAATTTCACTTATTCTAACTTGAATGTTTATAAATAGATATAAGTTATTTATAGATCACTTTTAATATAGTATTATTTTTTTGATATTATGTTATATTAAAAATTATATATATAATAGATTAATGTTAATTTAAATAGATGTTTAATATAATAACAAAATTAATATTTAATTAATAAAATTATATATTTTATCTTATTTGCAATAAAAAAAATTATAATAAAACATTATTATTTACTATAAAAAAATTTTTTTTAATTGCAAACAAATATTAAATATTAAACTTTATTTAAATAATAAATTTATTAAACTGTAAAATTTTTCTTTAATACAATTTAAGCATGTTAAATTATATACTTTTTTAACTTATATTAAATATAAAAAAGCCAATAAATTATTTATATTAATATTATATAATATATATTTTAAATATAGGAATTAATATAATATAAATTTTAAATAAATATGTATTGTTAAATTTAAAAGTTTAATCTTTTAAAATAGGAAATTTTATATTAAAAATAGATCCAATACATTAATTTGCTAATAATAAACCTATAATATTTTTATCCATTGAACAATCTTACTTAGAATTTTAAAAAAGGTTTCAGTCACCACTTTTGCAATAATCAAGGATTTCAATCAAATATTTATAATATCTAATCAAAAATATATTATTATATCACATAATCAAGTGATAATTCTCAAGTTATTAAGAAACATATTACAAAATAATCTTTCATTAATTATTTTTACATTTGTATTATTTGTTACTCTTAATAATTTAGTATGACAATTATATTCATTATTTATTTTTATATAAATAGAATAATAATATAGAAAAATTGTAGAAAAGTTATAAAGAAAATAAAAAGAACTTGTAAGAAAATTGAAGGTGGAATTGTAGTTACACAGGTCCAGGTCACAATTCAAAACCCAAGTACTGTATTACTCTCCACCACTATATTTGATATAAGAAAGGTTGTTTGAAGTTTGTATTCTATATGTGGAAGGAAAACTTTGTTATAGATATATAATGTCATATAGCCTGTTATATATTTAGATTTGAGTGATTAAGAGATTGTTTTTATTTCTTTAAGAATTTTGTTATGGTTAGGTGTGAGAATACTGTGCTCAAAAAGTCAAATGTCCAATATTCTTATTGATTCTTTTTTAGATAATGGGAGAATTGGTATTATTTCTTAAAAGATTTTTTTCTTAAAGACTTCACTGTTCATAACTAGTAGTTTGGTTTTTGTTGAATTAGCTTTGATATCATTAAGTTAAAAAAATTCTGTTATAATGTTTAGGTTATTTTGGATTTTAGATTTTAAGGTCACAAGAAGATTGAGATCATCCATATATGCTATGATATTATGCTTTAAGTTTGATAGTTATTGTGTTAGAGCTAAGATTAATGGATTGTAAAAAATAATTCATCAAAGAGATGATAATGTTTCTCCTTGATCAATTCCATAAGGGATTATAATTTGTCGAGTGAGACCAAGGTCTGTTATTATTTGATATATGCGGTTTGTAAGGATGTTACTGGTTAGAAAAATAAAAGTTTCTAATAGGTGTATCCTTTTCATTGATATTCTTAGCATGTACAAGTTTATTAAGTCGAAAGCTGCATTGATATTAAGTGATAGAATTCATAATTCCTCTTGAATAAGTTTTTTGGAGTTATAAATTGAGTTGAGAATTTGTATTAGTTTGAAGGTGCTTTGGTTGGGAAGACTTGCAAAGTTGAATTTTTGAAGGATATTATGTTTTGTTAAAGTGAGATTGAGTCTTTTGATTAATATTTTGATCAGAATTTTTCTGAATGAGTCGACTAGTGCTATGGGTCTTGTTTCTTGAATGTAGTATTTCCATTGAAGTTTTTTGCTGATGAGAAATATGTGATAGTTTTTCCAGTCTGTTAAGATTTTTTAAGAAGAAAGTATTTGGTTAAAGATTATGTGAAAGTAAGGAAGAAGAGTTTTTTGTATTTGTTTTATAAAAAAATATGTGATTTTAGAGGGACCAGATGCCTTATTGTTAGGAAGCAAGCTTATTGCTTCTGTAATTTCATATTCAGTGATGGGACTCATTAGTGTGTCGTAAATTGAAGAGTTAATATTGTTAAGTGGGATATATGTTTTTTTCATTTGGAGAGAAGTTGATTGTCAATTATTCATTTGCAAAAAACTTTTTTGTAATAGTCTGTAATTGTTTGATGAATTTGAATAGGATCTGTTATAACTTCTTCATTAATTGGATCAATAATTTTTGTGAAGAAAGCATATGGGTTTTCGTGATTAAGGATTTGTTTGATTCTAATTTTTGGATTTTCTTGAAGGTTTGTTATTCATTAATTGATGATTTTATTGATTGTTTCATTTCTTTGTAAGTTGTTTTCAGTTTTAAGTGTTTTAAAGATTATTTTAAAGAGTTTTTTGAGTAAAGTAATTTGATCAGTTTTGTTTGAGTATAGGAGTTTGAGATTCTTAAGATCTTTTAATATTATGTGGTTAATTGGAAGGGGTGCTTGTGTAGAGAGGTTGTGAATGTGAAATTTGATTGTTTGAAGTTTTTTGTGAAGTATTGTACCATTTTTACTGAAAATTTGTAAGGTATTTTTACAGATTTTTGTTTTTGGAACTAATTTGTTAAGAGTTTTAATTATATTTGAATTGAAAAATTTTCAGGTTTTCTTGGTGTTGGATTTTTCAGGAGAGGAGAATAGGATGTTGGCAATAGTTGTGTTGATAGTTTTCCAGGTTTTAGGAGTTATTTTGTTAAAGTTGTAATAGGTAACAGATATTTTTTTAGGAAGTTTGAAGATTAGAAAGTTTGAGAGTATTAATGTGATAATTTTGTGGTCACTGCAAAATTCTGGTTCAGTGTTTATTGTTTGTGTTTTGATATATTAAATGGTGATATTATTTGATATTCAAATTTGATCAATACAACTTTGACCAGTAGATTCTGAAAATATATATATGGTTTTGTAAAAAAAGAAAAGACATAATATATTAATATAGTTTTTGTTAAGTTTTTTGTAAATGAGTAATTTGTATTTTGGTTCAGTTTTTTGAAATTTGTCAATTGGGTTAAGTGTAGAGTTGAAGTTACCCATGATGATATAGAAAATGTTTTTTGAGGAGTTATTGTTAATTAGTGTTGAAATAGGATGTGGTTTTTTTCCTTGTGTTTGAATTGTAAGAAAGATAAACTTGTATAAT